GCCGCGCAGGGCCCTCAAGTCGAGCCAGCACTCGCTGTGCTCCGTGACGGTGGTGGACACCCCCGGCGCGCAGAACCCGGCGCTCGCGGGGCAGAGCCGCGGGGCCACCTTCGAGGAGCTGTGCCACAACTACGCCCAGGAGCGCCTGCAGCTGCTCTTCCACCAGCGCACCTTCGCCCAGGAGCTCGAGCGCTACAAGGAGGTAGCGGGGAGGCCGCGGCGCGGGGGGCCCTTCCTCCCCTCCTCTCCTTCCTCTCCTGCTGCTGCCCCCCTAGAGTCCTCCTTCCCCCCGCTGATTCCTCTAGCAGCGGTCGAATCTGGACCGGGTCCAACCTAATCAGCTCCTTGCAGCAGGGGTTCCCATGGGGTTTCCCAGCACTGGCAGTGCCTCTGCCTGCAGCGCCCGCCGCAGGGCAGCTCTGCTTGCAAATGTGCCAGGGCAAGAGGTGACAACGACACCACAGTGGGTGGCAGGGAGGGTATTGCCACTGCGTGTGCGCTCGCTGCTCCCAGCCCATCCCAGCGCCCCCAGAGACCTCAGTCCTGCAGGGGACCCATGTGCCATTCCCGGGATCCGGCGGGGAGCAGCGGGACACGGCCGGATGCCTCGTGCCGTGGCTGGGAAACCCCTGCTGCCGCACTGCCTAGATCCGATTGAGACTAATGTACTGACCGGCCCGCTCGGGTCCCTAACGCCGATCTCTAGTGACACAGGCACTAATCGCTCCTCTGTCCGTCCTCTCTAGGAAAACATAGAGCTTGCACTGGCTGACACAGAGCCCGCTACACCGGGCTCTGTAGCCACTGTAGACCAGCCCTCACACCAGGCTCTGGTAAGCACACGTCGCTCCCGGCGCTTCCCGCGCGGCCGGTGCTCGCAGGCCCCGCTTTGCGGCACTTTGCATGCTTGCACGACGCTGCTCGCTCTCGTTACTGCTAACGAGCAGATGCCTCCGGCTCCGCATTGAGGAGGATGAGGCCAGGTCTTTACAAGGTGTTTCACCCCGATCCGGCTCTCCGAGGCCTCCTGGCAGCATCCCCGTGGGCTGAAACCTGCTCCCGGAGCAGTAATTACCTTCCCCATTAGCTCCCAGGTGATGAAGACAGGGAACCGCAGGGCTGCAAGCGGCTGTTGCCACTTATCATTGTAATGGAGCCGCCTGTTCCCGATTCGGCTCTCGCCACGATCCATTACGGCAGTTTATTGAACATTAGACATCGTCTGGGCCTCTTTCCTGTCCTTTTAGCAGTAATTATGGGAAGGAAAGGGCCTTCCCTACATGCCTGGCAAAGCATGGGGAGCACCACGGCAAGCTCCC